ACTGGATTCGTCTGAAAGAAGAAAGTCATATACACCTAGGATGACTTGAGGGTAATTTATGGGCTAATTTTCATTTTTGGGTGAACTAACCCTTTGACACAATTCTTGTGAAACATGGAAAAAAAATTGCCAATGTCTAGGCAAGATGAAGAGTGGTTTTGATATTGCCTGATTTTAGAAATGAATTTAATTGAATTTGACAGTGTTTACAAGACATAGGGACACAGATGTAAAACTTTACAGTAAAAAGGTATATTTTCAGAATAAACCTGTTATTCCTGACAGAATATGGTAACTATGTTACTTTTAAAATACACACATATATATTTTAGTTAAATATAGATTTTCATCTAAATTGAATAACGCTTTAAGTATTGAGTTATTGAGAACAGTCACTTTTTGCAGGAGTGCGTTATGTAATGTTATCATTTTTATCAAATAAATAGAAAATCAAACTAAATGGTATATTTGTGTTGAGAACATTGTAGTGATCATCTGTGATGAATATTAAAGTGGAAATGTTAAGTTATGGGACATGATTTGCCTCATGTCTGAAGAATCCGTCAGGCCGCCGTGGCACAAATCCACACATATTTCTAGGAAAAGCATGTATTTCTTAATCTTAACCAGCCTCAGTGGAAAAACAAAATTCCTGTACATGTAAGTAGGTCTTTTATGTCTTTAGCTCCTCTAAATAAACAATATATTATGAAGCTGTTCTGTACAACCACGCGTAAGAAAATGCCCCACTTCACCGCTGCTGTTGGGATCTGCCGGGGGCGATTCTGACTCAAACAATTCTGAGCCGATTACAAGCACCAGGATGATGTGTGCTCATTGAACAGGCAGTTTTCAAACCAACACTTCACAAGAGATAAGAGAGACCACTACAGTGAAGAGCCTTCGTGATGGATACGGAAAGAATGCATTCACAGACAATAAGCATCCATTAATATCAGGAGGTGGATGAAAACTCTGTAAACGGAGAATACAGATGTTAATCAATATTCTACAAGCAGGAAAGTTTCCACATGAGGTCAATGCTGCTTCTCAGAGCTCTCAAAGGATATTCAAATTGCCGTCACTTGTTCAGTTTTAGTGCCATATAATCTGACAGTGTAAAACACCTGTCGTTTAAGTGGGTTATTCATGCTTTCTCTAATTAAACTTGTGCTTTCATTGGAAGAAAAGCAGTTTACATTTTAAAAACAAACCAACTCTCGCCTTTCTTCAATCCAATTTGCCAAGCAACAAGACAAACACTGATTGCATTGATTTCTATAGTGCACTGACTGGTGTAAATACTGTTGAGTTAAAAAGACTTTCATAAATCTTCTAGCAAGCATTGTGGCTGAGGGAAACCCATAATCCCTTGCTCCTGAACACATTAAATATGTATGGGGCTGTGTAAATAGCTGTCATTTAGAATGAATAGAGGTTTTAGCTCCATTTAATCTGGTTTATGTTGTTTAGTTAGTTAAATATATGTGTGTTGTTCATGTCACAGTGATGGTAATTAGAGGTCTTGGGCCATTTTCATTTCAAGGCACATTCTCATCTTACACTGAGAAACAATTCTGGTCTTATTCAAGTTAAAAATTACTTAAAATCACTGAATAAACCTATTTACATCAAGTATGTACAAAGCTAATTCTTATGGGTTAATCCGCCATGCCATTTAATCTTGAGTCTTTGAGCGCTTTTATCACAACTGATATTTGACTGATATTTATCACAATATTGTTTTCATTTGTTATGGAAAAAAGCATAGTGATTAATTGTTTACAGAAAAATATTGTTCTTGGCACAAAGCACAAAAATATTGACTGTAAATGATGAGTGTGATGGAGTGATGTTTGCTAAGGCATTTAGACATTTGTGCATTGCTCTTCCACCCATAATGTTCAACCTCGAAACATTTTGAATTTAGTGGGGTTAGCAAAAAACATTATCATAATATTTATTTCAATTGCAGTGTGTGATTTGCACACACGGTACACTGTTACAACCAGAATTTATTCAGCTACTATTCAAATAACAAGTCAATTAAGTCCAAGCTTACTGTGACAGGATTGAAATAACGTTAGTAACAATGAATAATTATTGGTACTCTGCAAGGCTGAAAGCACATACTGTATTTAGGATTGAGAGTCACTGAATGTAAAGACCAGAGAGAGTTCTCCATAAACCCATTCTTGAATCAAGTGTGAGTAATAAACCCAGTAACCACTGATCTGTCCTAGTAAATCCTCTCACACATGACGAGATTAGGAGAAACATAGGCTCTGTTATAGAGGAAAGCGCATTACAGTCATTCTGCTGCTCAACATGAGTCAAAGTTAAGAGTTTGAACAATTTAGGAAAAGTCTCGGGGAGAGAAGTCAGTCTATTGAAAGATCTACACTGTAACAAAAATTGGTGTAGGATTTAATTTGAAACTATTTTCCCTCAGAAATTGCTAGTAAATTTCACAAGAAAATGACAAAAAAGGCAAGTAACACACTGCTCATTTTTTTAAGTATTAAAGTATTTTCCTGTAAAATGTACTCCTGTAATCTTCTATTTACAAATTTTGAAAAATTTGTATACTAGTAAAAGTGATATAAGCTGTGATACTTAAATGTCTGGACATTTTATGTTTATTACTATCACTAAATTACACAAATGCGCATGCAATACACGACAAAAAATGTAACACAAACTCAAGCAGCTGCATTAAAAATAAAAACCACTCTTTTTGGAGCTTGTGTTGCGCTGACAATCCTTTACCCAATTCAGTGCTTGCAATCAAAAATGACCTGCCTTTTACAAATTGTTTGAAAATCTCTCATTATGCTATATTATCACCAACTCTTTTGTCAATTTGGTTTTGTACTTTAAAAAAATGATCGTAGGCCTCATTGATCTGAGTTTATGCACCTCAGTTTTTGAATGAACGTTGCTAAAATTATTCAAAAATAATGATTTTTCTTTTTTTTACTCAAAAACCAATCAATGATCAGTTTGGCCTACAATCAGTGGGGCCTACGATCAATCAGTCCCAAAAAGAAATACAAATCCTGTGCTAACTGAAAGAAGTTTAAAAAGATTAAATCCAATATTTTGTAATAATATAGCATAACGATTCATTTATAAGCATATATTTCTTGTAGGCTGGTCATTCTGTGGGGAAAATAAATTCCAAAATAATACAAAAATATCATTTTTGGTGGGGGGAGGGGGAGTTGTTATACCAAAATGTTACAAAAATAT